CCACCAACTCCTCTAGTTGGCACTTGAGCTCCTTGAGTTCCTTTTCGTTCAAACGATAGGGTGGACGAACCACCGCCTCAGCGCCCTCGACCAGCTCAATCTTATGTTCTATCGGTCGTGCGGGGGGCAACCCCGCCGGTAGCTCCTCCGGCATGGTATCCTGGAATTGGTCTAACACTCGCTGGATCACTAAAGGCACTTTTTCCGTTCTTGTCTTTTTGTCACTCTTCACCGAGAGTAAGCACAAAAAGGCTGCCTTAGTTCCTTTAGTGAGTTGTCCTCTCGTGGACACCAGGTTTAAGCAGGATTCTTTGGCCTTGCTTTGCCCTACCTTTAGATCCTGGGCTTCCACCCTAGATCTTCTTCCTTGGGCATTCGCCAGTACCACAAGGTTTCTACCTTGACCATGCAGGGCTACCACGAATCGATTGAACCAGTCCATTCCGAAGATCACGTCAAATCCCGCCATGTCCAACACGGTGAAATCCATGTCCACCTTCCAAGTCCCCACTTCGACTCTCGCTTGTCGAAGTACCTCATCGGTGCTTTGGCTACCTTGAACAAACTCTATAGTCCTTGGTTCGCCTAGCCGCTGCACCGTTAGTCCGGCTTGCCGGACTATGTCTGCAGCCACAAAATTATCCGAAGCACCCGTGTCAATAAGGATCTTAACAAAGCTACCTCCGAGCTTCCCTCGGAGGGCTAGTAGATGTCGCGAACGACTCTCTACCAAAGTTGCTCGTGTAATGAGTAACTTTGAGTTAGGGACTGGATCACATACCTCATTTTGGACTTCACCCGACTTGATGGCCATATTGGCTCTGGCCTTCTTCGGGTAGGGACATTCCCTCGAAAAGTGTCCCGCTTCACCGCAGTTGTAGCATACGTTGTTTCCCACGCTGCTATATGACTTGACCTTCTTATCCGTGGGTTTGTCTCTTTTCGCTTGACTCCCCCACGTACTTGCTCGCTGGCCACCGGATTTGCCTTTCCGGAATCCCGAGGACTCATTCTTAGAGAAACTCTTCTTGAATTTCCCCCTGCTATATGTTCCCCTCGGTTTGGCCCCTTTGTGAAACGTGGATCCCGACCCCGTCGTGTTCCCCTTTCGCAGGTTATCGTTGAAATGCACCTTGATGGCCGCATCCAACGCTTCCTTGTAGTTGGTCGGGTTCCAGCGCATCACCTCACCGCGAGCCCAGGTTTGCAAACCTGATATAAAGGCATGGAACGCATCCATATCCCCCATGTCCGTGACAAGTATCCTCTTTGCCATGAACCCATTCACATATTCCTGGATGGTTCCAGTCTGCTTCAGCCTACTCAGCTCATCTCTCAGATGCAGAGTGGCATTCGGAGGAACGTATGTCGCGCGGATCCTCGCCTTCATCATTTCCCAAGTGGCCACCGGTCCTTCGTTGGCCTCCGTTGTTCTCCACCAAGACTTGGCATTATCTGCCAAGTATGGTTTTGCACATGGGACCTTCTCCGAGCTCGGTAATCGCAACGCTCGGAAGTAGTCCTCCATATCGTAAAACCAATCCTCCACAACCTTATAGTCGTTCACTCCCTTGAACACCGGTGGGGGCTTTGGTTTGTACTTGGGAACTGCCTGAGGGACTGATTCCACTTCGGTCTGTTCGACCTTGTCTGGTTTTGCCTCAGTCCCTGCCGAAGGGTCCGCACCTTCTGCGCTGCCAGCATCCGCAGTCTTTCGCCTTTTCTTCCGCTTCTCGTCACGCTTTAGCTTGCGTACGAGAGTCTCCAGCAGGGCATTGGTCTGCGCCAATTGACCTTCTAGAACGTCCAATCGAGCCTTGGACGACCGAACCTCGCCACCGGACTCCTGTTTGGAAGTTTCCTCACTAGAGTCCTCCTCATGCAAGGATTCCTCATCCATAGCCTCTTGTTCGACCGGAGGCTCCAGCTCTGGCGGAGGTTCTGTCTCCGCCTGGGTTCGCTTACGCCCTGCCCTTGCCATCTCCCAGCAATCCGCCTCTATCCTTCGCTAGAACTGAGGAGAAAGCTCCGATACCAAATTGTAAGCCACAAATTTTTCCTTTCCACTTTGCCAGCTTACCTCGCCTATCCGCCCAACACTGCCTTGGCTTTTGCTAAGTTCCCTCGCCAAGGTTCTCGCCTATGGTACCAGCTCCTACTTGGTTTCAGCTACTCACTGCACGAGCAACGGAGTGTTAGCCATCCTTCCATGGATTCCCAAATCACTCCCAATCCCCCTCCCCGGGTTAGACTGGACTTAAGGTTCGGCTACACTCCCCGCAAGCACAAGCAGCCAAGCACACCAAGCTTCCAGGTTCCTAACATCCCTTGGTACCACAAGACTTGATCATGGGACCCTCTAAATCCCAAGTCTTGAGTGCATCACTTGCTTCGGGACGCCGGGGCGAAACACCGTGGCCTAGCGGCCCGGTATGGGTACCTCTCGCCCCCCACTTCCATCCCGAAGGAAGGCCCAAGCCCCTAGGAAGGGCGAGGACCAATGAGCCGCATGGTACTCAAGTGGGGCACCACTCCACATGAGCCGGGAGCACCGCAATCGGTTTCCCTTTCGGGAGTGGGAGCTGCTCTTGAGCACTTCCTTGGATGGCCCCTCCGGCACCAGCCAAGTCCATGCTCACTCCCACCCAAGGCCCCTCGGTCCCAGTCCCAACCTCAAGTCGGTTTGGAAGCCCAACTGGAGAGTCCCTTCTAAACTGGTTCCTGGACCTCACTATCCCTACTATACTTTTGGAACCCCCTGCAGCCCCCCCCCCCTGGGAGACGCACGCTTTGGGCTTTCACCCCTTGACCCGTATTAGTATTTGGACTTAGTCTCTGGCTCGATCTCGGACCCGATTTCGGATCCGACTTCGGATTCGGGTTCGGACTCGATCACGGACTCGATCTCGGACCCGATCTCGGACCCGACCTCGGACTCGACCTCGGACTCGGTCTTGGACCCGATTTCGGATCTCGGACTCCGTCTCGAACTCGGTCTCAAACTCGGACTCGAACTCGGTCCCCGAGTCGGTCTCGGACTCGATTCCGGACTCTATCTCGAACTCGGTCCTAGAGTCGGTCTTGGACTCGATCCTCGACTTGGTCCCATCCGATGAACTCTTTGTCACTTCGGTCAAGCTTTTGGGGATCCTTTAGCCTACGACATCTCGGGGAGTCGGTTCCTTACAGCAAAGTGTTCCATCAAAAGAGCAATAGGCTGCTGAGGACTACCTTGTCCAACTCTTTGAAGCCATCAATTTATGTGCCCTTCATGGCAAAAAGAGTCACAATAAGTAAGTATTCAAATAACACACACAAAAAGATTATAGAATTTATCAACCAGCTTGAAAATTATACATTTAGCCTGTCGGCTTAGAGGAACCTTGGAGCATTTCATTTGATACTACATTTCTTTTTCTTGCAAGTTCACTTAGAGTTTACCATGCAGCTTATACTTATTGATTAGAATCCTCAAATTTTCTTAGAAAATTGCTGCTACTTTCAGGCATAAATCACTGTTAATTTCAGTCATCCTCAACCACATATTTTTGGAAAATTAAATGTTCAAAATAAAACCACTGAAGCGTGAAAAAAATATGATCTCTGTTGGATCACTGGTATAACTACCCATTCTCTTGCTGTCAATGTACTTGTGACCGGAAATTTAAAAAAAAATAGGTGTTTGCTACTGATTCTTGGGTATGGGGTCATGATGAATGAGAGAGATACAATGAACAGAGGTATTAATCATGGCGTCTAATCCCAGAACATTGATGGACATTGAATGTACATCAGTGTGATAGTTGATATAGTATAGTATGTGAGAGTATATGGTATAGTGTGATGGAATGTATGATTATTTCATTTTATTAAGTTGGACCTTGTGTTTATTATACAAAGCTCAACATGGATGTGTATGAAGACAAAAAGGAATGTTTGGCTTTTCGTTGCACTCTTTTCTGTTCTTCAAACACAATCTTGTTCAGAGTTGTGAATTGTGGTTATCAAGGTGGCTAAAAAATAGTCCACTGGCTATGTTACTGCTGCATGCGCAAATTCATTGTAACACAGCCAGTGGAGTATTTTTTGTGTTCAAGCTCAGGTCTGGGTATTCCTCATGTAGCTTGAGCTTTCTCACGTGTAGATCCATTTATGATACTAGATTTTGACACAACACATTATAAGAAAGACCAGATACTAAACAACAGCATGGCTGTCCATTCGTCCAGTGTCAAAAAGGTATGTTTTCATGAAGATCTCATACATGAAATTACATGATAGATATGGAATCATGGTAAATATTTGCAGTATGCTTTTTCAGTAAAATGAACCACAAAATTATCTTAGGGAAGCTTCCTACATGTCCCATCAATGTCTTCAACCAGTTACCAATGGAATGGATAGATTTTCAAAAAGAGTCTATCGGTTAGCCCCATATTAATTGTAAGAAAAGAAAATAAAAACCCTAACTGATAAGAACACAAACTCTAGGGTTTCAAGACAAAAGAACAACCATCCCTCGATGGTGTCTTCCTAAAATCTATTTTCTCTTCACTACTGCCATACTGCTCTGTGCTCAAACTACTCTATTGCTATTTCACACTTAATCCACTTTCAAAAGCAAAATGAACACAAGAAAAAGACGAGCAACAACAGAACTGGTTTTGAGCATTTCTGAAAATGTGAATAACACAAATGCACCACACATTAACGTACCAATGAATCACTATATACAGAACAAAATGGGGCTCCTAAACACAAATCATGAAGGAAACTGTGAAGAAAACTACATAGGGCCAATGGACAAACAATGTGTCCATTGCAGAGCTTTCCATTTTAATGCAGAAACAAAATCACAATGCTGTCATCACGGTCGTGTCCAAATAAAAAATAGAAACCATTTCCCTGAATTGATCCAGAGGTTGCTAGAAGGTAATTCAAACCAGGGAAATTTCAAAGAACTAATAAGGAACTATAATAGTGCTCTAGCATTTGCTTCCATGGGAGCAAACATCGAAGAATTTTCGGGTGGTGGACCATACTACTTTAAGATACACGGTCAAGTGTATCACCGAATGGGCAGCTTCAGACCACGAGATGATCAAGAAGCAATGTATTCACAACTCTATATTCTAGATACGGCACAAGCAACAGAAACAAGAATGAGAAATATGCATAACAAAAAATGCGACCGGGAACTAATGTACAGATTAGATGTTCTCTTACGAGAAATCAATCCCTATGCAAAAGCATTCAAGATGTTGCATGAGCTTGAGAATGAGATGTCTCTTTCATCACAAGAGATTGTCATGTACATCAAGGGAGAGAGCACAACAGATCCTCGAAGATACAATGCACCGTGTTCAAATGAAATTGCTGCCATTTTTACAAATCCAAGTGGGAACCCACCATTTGACCGTAGTATAGCAGTCTATCCAAAGGAAGAATCAATGCAGGAAATATCAATCATTTCATCATGTTGTGACCCTATGATCTACCCAATTCTTTTTCCCAGTGGAGAGGACGGATGGTCAAATGATATAAAATACACAGATAACGGCAATACACTTAAACGTTGTAATGTCACAATGATGGAATTTTATCAGCACAAATTTGCTATACGGGGCATATGTCACAATGGCATAAGAAGCATATATTTCAACCCTGTGTTGACAGCAGGAAAACTCACACAACAATACATGGTCAATACATACACCAAGATTGAAGGTGGCCGACTAACATGGATAAGAAACCACCAACGTGAGCTACGTGCTGAAGCATACGGTGGCCTCTCAGATTTCGTGAAAAACAGAGCCGAACAGGAAGGGGTACGTGCTGGAAAACTAATAATACTTCCATCCTCATTCACTGGAGGCCCACGACAGATGAATCAGAACTACCAGGATGCCATGAGCCTTGTAAGGAAGTATGGAAAACCTGATTTGTTCATAACATTCACCTGCAATCCTAAATGGAAAGAGATCACTGAAAACCTTCTACCTGGACAAACAACTGCAGATAGACCTGACTTGGTTGCACGTGTGTTCCACATCAAGAAACAAGAACTCATAGATGACATTTACAAACGAGAAATATTTGGCCAGGTCAATGCTTATGTCTATGTGATTGAATTCCAAAAAAGAGGACTGCCACACTGTCATATTTTGGTGATCCTTGGTAAAGATAATAAAATCAGAACTATCGATGACATAGACAATATAGTTACTGCCGAAATACCAGATGCCAGACTAGACCCAGAATTATATGAATTGGTTAAAAAGCACATGATACATGGGCCTGAATTGGCCTGAATTTCCAAACAGCCCATGCACGAAGGATGGTGAATGTAAGTCACACTATCCAAGAGATTACTGTGAAGAAACACAGAATGTCGGTGGTCAGTTTCCAGAGTATAGAAGGCGCCAAGAAGGACATACAGTCCTAATAAAGAACAAACCCATTGACAACAGGTTTGTTGTGCCATACAACAAGTACCTCTTACGTAAGTACAGAGCACACATAAATGTCGAGGTGTGTTCCACTGTAAAAAGTGTCAAGTATATATTCAAATACATATACAAGGGACATGATTGTGCGGAGGTACGCCTTCGAAGGGATGAGAACTCAACACCAGAACAAGTACTAGACTGGGACGAAATAGAGGCTTTCAGAAACTGCCGCTATGTCTCCGCATCAGAAGGAATATGGAGGATCTATGGATATGACTTACATGGGAGATCACATTCTATTGAGAGACTGGACATCCACCTGGAAAACCTTCAAAATATTTATTTCAATGATGGTGAGGAAGAGGTTGCATTACAAAGAGGCCGTAAAACCAAACTGACAGAATGGTTTGAGCTAAACAAGATTGATGAATTTGCAAGGACACTCTTGTACCACGAGATTCCTGAGTGGTATACATGGAATTCAAGAAACAGAATGTGGACACCACGCCAACGTGCATTCAAGGTGGTTGGTAGAATGTACACTGTATCACCACATGACTCTGAACGTTTCTACCTACGTATGATCCTGCTCTACAAAAAAGGTGCTACAAGTTTTAGTGATTTAAAGGTATTAAACGGTGTTGCATATGACACATACCGTTCTACTGCACAAGAAATGGGACTTCTACAGGATGATTGTGAGTGGGAGAAATGTTTAGAAGAGTCGTTGACATTTCAGATGCCTGCAAAAGTAAGGTATCTATTCAGTGTCATGTGTTTATTTTGCGAGCTCATTGATCCCAAAAAACTATGGGATAAATTCAAGGAAGGGATGTGTGAAGACTTGGTCCGAAATCACAACAACTATGAAGCAGCAATGCAACATGGATTGAATGAAATGTCAATATTACTCCAGGAACATGGCAAGAAACTGTCTGACTACGAGTTACCAGATCCAGAGTTTATAGGAGTTAACGAAACAACAACTGAAACAAGATGTGTGCCATGCACACCTGATGAAGCTGAATTACTAAAAACCAGATTGAACAAGGAACAGCTTCACATATTTAACAATGTCTTGAATGCAATACAAAACAAAAAAGAAACAAGCAGATTATTCTTTGTTGATGGTGTAGGAGGCACAGGGAAATCATACCTTTTTAACACGTTGATAAAATATGTTACTGCTTATGGCATGAAAGTCTTAGCAGTCACGTGGACAGGAATAGCGAGTACTCTTCTTGTAGGAGGCCGAACGGCTCATTCAACATTTAAGCTTCCAGTACCAATCACAGAAACATGCACCTCGGACCTGCGAGAGAATTCAGCACCTGCCGAGGTCATAAGAAGAGCTGACCTGCTCATATGGGACGAAATAAGCATGGTACCCGTTCACGCTTTTAAAGCTGTCGAGAGGGTCTTGCGTGATATAAAAAACTGTGATACAGAATTCGGTGGCATCACATTAGTAACAGGAGGAGATTTCAGACAGACATTACCTGTTCTAAAAAGAGCCCGTCGCACACAAATTATCCAAAACAGCATGAAATCCTCACCAATATGGTGGAAACTTGTAAAGTTCTCATTACATACAAACATGAGGGTGAACTCTGAAGAAAAGGAATGGTCTAGATGGCTTGTGAAGCTTGGAAATGGTAACCTACCTAGCCTCCAAGGATTCAACCAAGAAGTTATAAAATTACCTCTAACATCGACATCCAGAGAACAAATGATAGATAATGTGTTTGGAAAGCATATACAACCAAATGACCCAAACCTATCACAGAAAGCTATTCTCACGACTTTAAATGATCTCTCTCTACAAATGAACGACAAGTTCTTTCGAGAATGACTGGCAGAACAATAACATACAGAAGCATTGACATTGTAGAAACAGATTCGGAAGAAGAGATGTTGGACTATCCTGTAGAATTTTTAAACTCAGTAACACCATCTGGAATGCCTCCACACAAGCTACAGGTAAAAATCGGATGTATTGTAATGTTGTTACGCAACATTGACACTAAAAAAGGCCTCTGTAATGGCACTAAACTAATTATAACCAAGGCACTACCAAATGTTATAGAAGCTGAGATTCTACATAATGGTATGCAAGGAAAAAAAGTCCTCCTACCAAGAATCTCTTTAAAACCAACTGAAGGAGACATGCCATTTATCCTCAAACGATGACAATTCCCAATAAGGCTTGCATTCTCCATAACAATTTGCAAATCTCAGGGACAAACATTACAGAATGTGGGTATTTACTTGCCAAGACCTGTTTTTGGCCACGGTCAACTTTATGTTGCACTTTCAAGAGGAACATCAAAGAAACAAATTACAATGTCTATTGAACAATGTGAAGGACAAGGTGTGCTCCAGAGCCATAATGTCTATACGAAAAACATTGTGTACAAAGAAATTCTCTAGGATTCATGTCACCAATGTAACAGATGTCCTATATATCCCAGCAGAGCTGGATTCCCTGCTAGTTAACTGTATGTGTATGAAGTATGTGTATGAAACTTAAAATTCTCTTTAATGAAAGGAATATAAAACCTTTAGATCTATATGATTATCCAATAAATGTTTGTAGGAAATCAATAGATCGACCAGAGTTTGCTCAATGCAGTTTTATTGAATCTTTTCCATTTTTAGAGTGCATTGAAAAAGAAAAATAGGCTTATAAGTGGAAACTACCATTGCCAGATTCTTGTCCTTATAATGCGTGTATTCAACAGATCCATTCAAGGTCGTTTCATTGGCAAGGCAGGAGAAGATTTGACAAATAACAATAGAACGGGGTTTATTCACCAGGCCAATCCTTTTTCACAAAGAGCTTATTTTAAATATTTTTAAGTTAATGTCTGATTTGAATGCTAACATTTTTCCCTCTGAAACTATATATTCCACTAATGTTTCCCATATACTTTTGGCCTAATTCTAGAGGGGTTTTGCACCCACTATTAAATAAGTAAATTTAATGGTAATTCATTCATACCACCACACTATTACATTAGATTTTGTAAACTCTAATTTAATAGTTGAATTTAATGGTTACTTGTTCACACCAGAAATTAACACTAAAGTAAGCTGATGTTACAGTTAGAATTTTATTTTTTTGCATTTTTCACTAAAATCCTAATGCTACAATTTTGTAATATCGTCATTATCATCATCATCATCATCATCATATCATACTCATATATTTAAACAAAAGAGCCCGTATAATAATAGCATATACTGGGGACACTTATTCTGGGCATATGCCAAAATCTAACGGCTGAGATTAGACAATGTAAAGTCGTGACTTTTGGGATCATAAAAATTTTCAATTGTCTTTTAGGGTGCATGACCACAAGGAGAGAGCATCGATCATTGCTTGTGGGAAGGTACTCTCTCTCTCTCTCTCTCTCTCTCTCTCTCTCTCTGTGTATCTGCCTCTGTGAGTGTGTGTGTGTGTGTTTGATGGAACGATTTAGAAGGCTACAGTCAGCTGTACATGATGCCACTGGTTGGTTCATTCTCGAGTTCAAAAGCTCACGCACCAGAAAATGACAATCATTTAACCAACGCCGAAGCGTTCTTCAACAGGAGAATTATCCAGTTCGTGAAGAAACGAGTCGCACTTATGGAAAAAGTACTAACGCAGAATATCATCTGGTAAAAGAGTCTCGACCCCCTATTGTCGTCCCTGCGATTCTAACTTGAGATGTTCCAGGATGACCAAGATATTACGGCCAATCGCAGCAACGGTGGCATCGAGCCTGGCGAGGGACCAAAAACCTCCTACCAAAAGCCGCAACCCGCATTTGTTCCTTATCCAACACCTTTGAGTGAGTTCCTTCGATTTAGACACTAGAAAAAACTCTAATGCGTTCGTTTTTCGACAGCTCCGGAAGAAGTCCTGGGAACAGCACTGGATAACGATCCTAAGCGGCTGAAAGCTCCAGCCTATTACAACGAGGTTGTGTTTGTTTCTCCATTTGAAAAGGTTTGAGAGGCTCACGGCTTTCTCTGTGTCGCCATAGTTGTGCTCGATGATCAGTGAGAACAGGATCGACGCCTTCCAGACTTATGCGGGGAACAAATCCACCAGCATCCGCCTGCGCAGGTGCATTTGGCAGATCGACGTGCTCTGCTTGGAAATGCGACGAGGATTGGGAGTGAAAGGCGAAGAGGCTATGATGGATGGAGCTACGACAGGGACGACGTCTCGGACAATGAGGGGATTCACGTTGTCATCGACAACTAGAATCAAGGTTCTTCACTCTCTTGCTTGTCGCTATTCTTCTTTCGGGTCTCTCAAGTCCCTGTTTGTTCCAGGTTCTCAAGGCTGGAACCACGACTAGAATCAAGGTTTTTCACTCTCTTGCTCTTCGCTATTCTCTTTCGAGGCTTAAAGTTCCTGTTTGTTCCAGGTCCTTGAGGCTGGAACCAAGAGAAAAAATAGAAATTTTCGTCCACGGTTTGCTTCCTTGTTCTTCAGTTTTGCGTTTTTAAAGCATTGAGAGGGATTTCTATTTTGCAGCGCTATAAACCCTGTAGTCTCAACATGGATAGTCATACGGGACAGCCATACATGGTGCTCTTCAGTTTATGACAAGTTCTCTTGAGGAAATGTTGGCAGTCAAGCACAAAAAAACTGGCTTGAAGGACATGATGGAATACTCTCTTATAACAGTTCATATCTGAGGGTTTCATGTCTAACTCTCTCTCCTGTCACTTTGCAGCATTAGGAACGAAACAAGGAGAGCGAGCTCCTTGATTCTTCACTGTTGATAAGTTTCTTTCTCGCATTTTTTGCAGTTGTCACTGTTTCTGAGTCTCCACAATGAATGCTTTGGAAATGGGTATGTATGTGATTTACAGTCTTTGCAACGTAAGTTGAATGTGTTTGCAAAAGAACAGGTCATGAGTACTGGGAAGATGAAGGCATTGAAGAAAAAAAGCCAGCATGCAGGCAAATGATGAACAAACATATTTCACCCATATGATCCTGTCACTTACAGGTATCAATATACTGCTGTGTTAGCAGTGTTTACATTTATCCTTTCGTCTTGATTACAGAGTGGAACCTCTGATATCTATTCCTTTTGGAGAAAGTCAGTGAATATCTTGGGATACAGGTAAACATAGTGCTTTGTAAGTTTTGCTATCAAAGCTAGAGGAAGTTCTTCGGTTGGGGTATGGTTTTGTCACAGCTTTTTACGGCAGTATGGTGACAGAAAGGCTATCTAGAAGTCCCAATGGTAGAGTCGACTTAATGCTACAGGTAAGTCTTGCTCTTTGCTATCACGTCATTCTCGTGTGGATCCAGGATACAAAATTTAAGCTCCACTACATATCGCTATCTGATCAACGACAGCAGTGGCTGGAGAGAGAGAGAGGAGATTTGGAGTCTGAATCACAGCAGTAGCAGCAGCAGCATCACCAGTGAGAAGATCTCAAGGCCATGAGAATCCTCCACCAGTTTGGGATCAGTCACATGTACGTAGCAGCCAGGTGAGAGGGGCAGTGCGAGGGACAGGGACGAAGATCTCACGAGGGACAGGGATGAAGATCTTACAGGGTCCGTCATCACCCGATTGATGAGGTCCTGGTTTGCTCTATCACTTTGGAGCCATCTCTGAATGGCAAGGTGAGCTTCAACGTGGTGGCAGTGATCCAGAGCAGCAGCTCTAGAAGTGGTAATGATGACCATGCGTTTCTCTACAAGGACATGGTGCTGTACAAATCCAATTACTATTAGCATCACATGTCTGAGGACAAATTAAGTGAAGTGGTGCCAGATTGAATTGTATTTGTGTTGTAATACTACATTATATATAAGGTGTCTCCTACCCTTGACTGGCTACAAAAAATAGCAAATGTCTTTCCCTCTTTGCTCTAAGTGAGCACTCTGACCAACACACATAACAGTAACATATGTGTCGAGAAGGCCAAGTACAAGCCCACTGCTCAGTTCAAGCTCAAAGTCCTCTACATTTATATCAACAGCTCCTCTACATAATCAGGCTGTGTACTCCACATGAACCATGGAGCCTAGAGTTGGCCTGTCACAAGATGTCTCTTCTCCTCTGGTTTTCCTGTTGAAGCACTAAGCAACAAGTAAGCAATACAAAGCTTACACCATATCACTCACGGTCACTTTTGCAAAAGCTTACTTAAATTCCACGCTTGCGCAGACTCAGAATCATGTAAATATGAGCGCACACTCGCAGTTATGCTCGCTGTCCCAATACAGAATTTTCCTCCTCTTTAGTGCTACTGATATCAGCACATGGAACTGCACACTCACTAAAGAGAATCCATTCACTGCGAAGAGGAACCCACCAAAAAAAATCCCTCCCATGCTGTTTAGAACTCTCATAGCAGGCAGGAAGATAGGGCTTCACGCATTCTTCCAGGGCTTGAGCATGGAGTTGGGACGGTAGCATTCTCTGTGGTAGTGCCATTGCTAGGGATTTCAATATAACATGTTCTTGGGGCCTAGATCGAGAAGCTTTATGGAACCACTCCACTGGAATCATCTCCACATGGTGGGGTAGCCTCGAGATTGTTATGATGATCCCTATTTGTCTCTGTCTTTCCTTCACATGATGTGGTGGAGAACACAAGGACAACAACAACATTGGCTTCGCATAATGAGCCTCTGGGAAAGTCCTACAAACAGTTCCATACGGTTCTCAACTATTTGTGGCGTATGGATCACAGATTTGGTGACTCTTGTACTCAGTGTGCTGCCTAACTCTTCACTTATTTCCTCTGGGAATGATCAGAAAGTAATAACTTGAACAATGTTTTCTCTGCTTCTAAATTTCCAGGCACTTCCACTCTTGTATGACCCTGATGATAATGAGAATGTGGATAATGTGGACTTATCACACGAGCACGTACTGTGGGAGACTTTCTCAAGAGAACTAAACTAATACAAGATGCAGATAGGTTCATCAAGAGAATGTCATTCACTTCTTAGTGACTGCTTAGTGCCTGTAAAGTTCACGAGGACTTGGAGAGATGATCAAAAGGTGGCGATGGATATGCTTAAGTGTGTGAAGCGTGAGCATATGAGTTCTGTGCTTTGTAGGAGCTTCATTGTTGCCGAGACTTGAATTCAAACTATCTCTTTATTTTCTATCTAAGTCATGTGTATATGCACTGTTAGCACAACTATTATATAGAAACTGAATAAGAGTTTTGATGGATGGCTCAAAAGAAGTTAGGTTGATTCAAAAAATACCTCTCCAAATTTTTTAAGAGATGGAGAATGATAACTCCACAATGGTGAGATGTGATGGTAAGAATTAAGGACTAATGCTTAACATAAACATGAAGTTTACCTATGTATGTATTAAGTTTCTAAGCATAAAAAGTGGCAAGAGGAAGATGGATAAAGACAATAAATTCTACACAACCAACCATGCAAACAAACCGTCAAGTAGGCAACAATCAAAAGTAAAAGCAAAATAAGTGTTAGATAAAATGCAAAACATCATGGATGAGTTGACAAGAACTTGTCAAGTGAAATGCTGATGA